TTGCCACATTTAAAGCAAAGTGTACAACAGTTGATTAGTGGACTTAAAAAGTAACTCCTAAAGTTCAGCGGCCGTGAAATATGAAGCGCGACTCTTATCCATGTTCCCATCGGTGATTCTGTGAGCGATCGCGAGGTCTATTTCAGTATGCCGTGAACACGCACTTATCCCAACTATCTACACCTGGCTTGACATAGCCGCGCCTTTTCATCCTGGCTCGGCAAACGTGCAACCAATTAAGCCAGGATGCGCCGAGCAGACTAGGTCAAGCCGCGCTTGCTCAATTATCCTGGATTTCTTTATTTTACTTTTGTGCAATACCCTTCTGGTTCTCAGGTTTCTTTTTCCTTGAGTTGAGACTTGGGGAATCAGTACCACCACAACAGAACCAAAGAATGTATTATTGATTTGATTATGTAGGGGCTGATGAACGCAGAACACTTCCTGGTTGTAACAGGTCTCTCTGCAACCATGGGTTCCCACAGCACACAACCAAGCACAACAGATCGATTAACAAACACAAGTGTATTACTTTTTCAGCTGCACACTGTCAACAAAAATACTCAGCTTTAGTTATTTCCCAAAGTCCCAAACAATTAACTCTAGCAGTGCTCCGAGGTCCAGCACACTACTGCATTTAAAAAAGAGAGTGATTACTCAATGAGCACCAGCTGAGACCATCAACTCACCTGGTGCTGCTCTCACAAACCATCTCCACAGGTCTCTCCCTCATGTAAACCTGATGTGTAAACCACACCCTCCTCCACACTGGTCATACTGATTCTGAAGTGGAGCTCAAGTACCACTAAACTCTAATCACACTCAACAAATACCAATAGTTAGATGCCCGTCTTCAGTCATGCCTCCTCTTTTATCAGTTGATGGTTTTGAAGTTTAGATATTAGATTGTATAGAGAGTTATATATACAGTCTATGTAAGATTTTGACTGTTTTAGTGAAATCTGACACACACTGCAACAGTTAAAAAGTGATGTTGACTCATCTAAGTGATGTTTTAAATCTTAAGACGGACACTTCAACGGATGCATCACTCCCTCAGAGAGCGAATACATAATTTTCTGTGCAAAATAGCTGCTTTTAAAATAACTTAATATGTCGGATAGACAAACATCTTGTCTGTCAGAAGTCGCTGCTCCACTTTGCTCCTCAAATGCAGTCTATTTATGTAAGTGGATTTATAGGGTTTGGTGGCAAATGATATTAAATACAGAGAGTGTGTCATGGCTTAAGATTTAGTGAACTGAAAGACCTACAGTGAAATACTGAACGCTCATAGGAGTAAAATACAAAACCCTTCACTTGTCGGCTATAGACCAAGGGAAAAATATGATGCAGCAGAAAATGTTGTCTCAGCAGCTCCACAAAGTAACAAAGAGAAAACTTTGGCAGTTAAATTGGGGATGCAGAGGGACTGGTACCAAAAACCCCAGAATAAATGCTTGTGAAATGAGCCTTGTAAAATTACATGTTCCATACCACATGTAGGCAAAGCTGGAAAAGGCTCCTTTCCATTGGTTGAGTTGGTAAGAACACGCAGTGCTACATGATGATACAAACAGTTTTGGAAAACACATATTTGTCATCAGGGTTGGGAGGGTTAATTTAAAAAATGTTATCCGATAGTAACTAATTACCTGTTAAAAATGTAGTTAGTATTCAATGCAAGTACCACAATATTAGAGCAATGTAAGTGGATTACTTACGTTACTCTTGGTTAACCTCAAGACCAAATATGTTCCAAAAAATCACAAGGAAATAAATATAAATGAAAAGTATCAATGCAAGTGATACGACAACTGAACAATGTAACGTTAGAAAAAAATGGAAAGAGTTTTAGAATCAGAAAGGTGTCCAATGTCCATCCTGCTAAATGCTTCCCATTTTTAACATAACTGGAATTGTCTTTTTTATGTAACTGATGGATTACAGTTCCTTTTTTTGGTATCCTGATTGCATAACAATTTTGATTGCCTGCCCCAGCCTCATCTATCACCCTCTCTAGTGCACTGAACTGCACCTTCTCTGCCTCTAGACTGCATTTGGGTTCAACCTCTTATCCAATATGGGTCTTGAGCATGGATGTGGCT